GTGGGAAATAAATGGTAAGGCTGTTTTCACATTGGGTGGAAAATCCTAGGATTACCTGTTATTGGAAAAAGGAAAGTTCTGAGGGGAGATTCCAAACAAGAAAAGGTATTCCAAACTTTAATATTAAAAACTTCAAATTAAAAACATTAAAAAATAAACGCTCATGCAAGATTTTGAAAGTCCCATAAGTCACTCTTAAAAAAAATTGTAGTAAGTATTCATATAACTTATAAATAACTTATGTATAAGCAGTATAACCTGAATTGCTTTTTATATGCTTTAAGAGTATTCGGGGTTCGTTTTTGTACTCCAAATATTTTCGCTACCGCATTGCTAATTTATTATTGACAACCCGCTCTGTAAACCCCTTCTGAAACCCTTTGAAAACCCCCGCAAACCCCCTACGTAAACCCATTTCTGGGTGGAGCACCCACAGGATGCAAATTGCATGAGCGGTGTCTGCGGCTTTTGTGGCTCGGCTCATAAATTCTTAACGAGAATTTTTGGCATTTGAATAAAAAACGAGGACCATCCAAATGGGAAGTGCAGTCTCCAAATGAAATTTCAAATTAGAAACTAAAGTGGAATGTTGTTAAGTGAATTTTAATTTGCCATTAACACATGCGGGGGAAAGAATTTCCGCCCCGGATGCGTTCTGAAAAAGGGTTGAAAAAAGGCGACAAAGGCACAGGCAAACTTGCGACAAAGTTTGTGCAGAAAACAAAACACGGGGACATGTAACAGCCTGGCTTTTTCAGCCGCAATTACAAAAAAGTTAAAAAAAAAAATATAAAACAAAACGAGAGATAGGCAAAACAACCCTTCTTTTGTCATGATATATTAGCAACAAGCTGGGAAAAATTGAATTTAACCCAAGCAAACGAGTGGAAGGAGATTCAAGTATCTGCCAGGTTATGTTTATCAGGAAAGATGGAATGGTAACTGGGGATTGCAGTCCTTTTATAAAGGCTTTTTTAAGGACATTTAGTGACGAAGTAAAACGTTAAGACTTTAAAGAACATAATTGGGCAAGAATATTAGTTACATAGGGAGTTAGAAATATTTTACTAAGAAATATTATACTAGTGGGTTCAAAGTTTTATGAACTGATTTATCAATCATTTAATTCAATAATATTTAACTTTCGAACTCAAACTACAGATGAGAGTATATAAAAAATAAACAATCAATGTTTAACTATATTTAAGTTTCTAAAATAAAGTTCTTCCTACAGTTAGTGAAACTCTTATGAATTTATCTTAGAAAAACAATGATCGATCGATCACCTGCTTTTCTGTGCCAGTGCCAGACGGCGTTTTTTCTCAAAAATAATCTGAGTATTTGGAGCAAGTTAGCAGAAGTTTTGCTTTGCTTCAGACTGGGGATTGGGGTGTAGCTTGTTACCTGTAAAATTTATGGCAAGAGCTGTCAATATGTGCCTGTGTGTGTCGTGCTTTTCACCATTTTCCCCACTCTGCCCCAAACACAAACAGCCAGCCTTTGCTTATTCCAACCATTCTTTTCCCTTGCTCTCTAACGTTTTTTCTGCTTTTCGTTTTTGTTCTTTGCCTTGAATTATGACAGAGCAGGAAAAGGACATGCAAAGGGGTGGGCTGGGAAATGGGGCGGGGCAGTGGGAAGTTATGGGCTACACATGTTGCTGTCTAATGTTGTTGTTTATATGCCATTGTGTCGTTGTTGGTTGAATGTGTAAGTAAGAAAATTGTTTTTGAAATGGCTAACAAGCTATTAGCAAACAAACAAAAGCAAAATGATGATGATGAGGGGGGTTTGTGGGGTTTTAGGGAGTGAGCCTTATGGCTTTCAGATTTTCCCTCCTTTTTTTGTGGGTAGCAATTGACATTTAAGCGATTCATGCTCCTGTGTCTGCTCTTGTTCTCCATCAATCAGAGATTTTTTTGTGCCATATGAGCGACGAAAAGGAAGCAATGATTTATGAAACAACTATCGAACGCAAGGCAAAATAAATTCAAGCCAAAACAAAGGAAAGTCCCTCCGGGGTGCACAACAATCGTAAGAGGATGATCTCATAAATCAGAATATTTCTCGGCTCTTTTTTAGAAACATCAACCCATTTAAGGATAATATTATTTCGAGTGAATATTTAATAAAAATATAAAGTTTGAATTAGCAATAAATTCCATTTTACAAAGCACATGTTTAGTGTGTGTGTTTTTTTTGTGCTACAAAAAAAATGTATTTTTATTCACATGTGCATATAATAGCTAGTGAAAATCAATTAGAGCTTGACCTGGGCACCAACATACCCTTGTCCTCTCCTCTCCTATTTACTTTACGTAATTTGGGCAATAAAAACACAGAAATGAAAGTTGTTGTGAATCTGACCCCTAAACCTTTTAACCCCTTTTTCACATAACCGTCTACCATTTATTGGCCCCCTTTTTAGAAGCCATTGCCCCGTTCTTTTTCGCTGACCGAAGCTTTAGTCGCACAATTTTACCTTGAGGGGCGGCAAAAGGAGCACTAGGAGAAGAAGGGTCGTGGCAACCGAATAAATGACAGCCCAAATTATTTTGACACCATTACCAAAAACGCTCGCTGAGAGAAACAACGATATATTGGACGTGGGTGGAACAACAGTCGCACCCAACGAACGAAAGCACACAAAACTCAAGTGGGGGCTATACAAGGGCTATATAGGCAGGGCCCAGACATCCAGACACAGCAACATATTGTGCCACGTTTTGTTGCAGGGCGAAGAGAAGCAGGGCAAAAGCGGGAAAAGATGAACACAGACGGAGCTGCACGCTCTGGAAAATTGTAGAGGGAGGAGAAGAGGAGTCGAACTGTCTGTCTGCCCCTTTGTCCCCATTCCATTTGCTCCCCCGTCTGGACCACTCTACGTGTGAAAAAATGCGGGGAAAGCAGGGGGAAAAGTCGAGGAAAACTAAGGGGGACAGCAGCACAGGAGCTCGCGAGCTCTGCTGCAAATTGCCAGTTAAAATTTCGCTGACATTTCAGCAAACGTCAAACGCACCATGGGGATGGGACCTCTGAAAGAGGGGGAGAGAGAGGACACGATGCGGACGAAAGAGACGGCGGGATGCGAGGTGATAGAGACAGCACGACACTCGATGGGGACAAATGTCAAGTGGAGTTTTACGAGATTTGTTTCGTTTTTGTTTAGCCTTGTTCAATGGGTGTCGCCATCGATGAGTGATGAAATTATGAAGCAAAACAATTGTGCTATCGATCGATTGCCTATCGATAAGAAGACAAACAAGATTACGAGGTGAAATTTACTTAAGCTAGATGTAAGTTCCTGTATATGAGTAACTCATAATTCCACAGAAAATAAAGCTTAACTAACTAATTTGCCTATTTCTGTATAGTAAACAACATCATTCCGGCCATCATAAAATAAAAACCATTTTGGCTGATGAAAAATGTTTATATTTCTAATATGCCGGGCAGACTAATCAAATATAAATCTGCGCAACATGGCAAGCAAATATTTTGAAAACTGTGGCCCAAATTGCCATTAAACACAGCCAGTGGACATTTCTAAAATTAATTGATAGGGGAGAGTATTTTGCTATTCATAGTTTATACAGTAAGCACGATATGTGACAAATTGGGAGGTTTAAATGCGCGGCAAGTCGATTTGAACCAGGGCCAAGAAACGACCTTCGGTTGCCAAACGATGGGTAAATATTTACTCACTGCCCTGCTTGATCGAAGCCAAATTGAACACCAAACATTGGAGTCCCCACGTTCACTCGTTCAGTCAGTCATTCAGTCTGTCGGTCATTCAGACATTCAGTCATTCAGTCGATGAGCCAAGGGTAGCGCTTAATAAACTTTGAGCGTGTCGAAAAACGTAAAACAAAACTGCATTGCAATGTGGGTGAAGATAATAATAACGATGGCTATGCGAAGATAATAATAACGATGGCTATGCGAAGATAATAATAACGATGGTTATATGGAGAATGGTGAATATTGTGACCCCTGGCCAGAAAAACAAAACAGCTTTTTAAGTATGCAGAGAAACCGCGCGTGCGACCAGTAAAATTGAAACCAGAAAACTAAAGTAAATTGTGATAAAATGTTATTGAAACGTCAGTTCAATGAGTTGGATGGGATGGCCTCAAAGCGGGTAGAACTGACAGAGTGTATCACTTGACTTTGGTCGCTCCGGTTATGACAGATTTATGGGCCTCTGCCAATGAGTTGTGAGCATTTTAGCGGCACTCGCAATATACATTTTTTTTTTATTTAAATGGGCTAAATAAAGAGGTGAAACCTGCCATGGAATTGATTTTCTGGCTTAAATATTTCGCTTAAAATATATACATATATCCAAGTATCTTTGCTGTATAAATCTTCTAGAAGCAATAATATTTTAGTTTTTCCAAGTACTTTAAATTAATAAAAACTAAATTACCTGACAGTGTCGGCAGTCAGATAAACACAAAATACCAGATAATTTCCAAGTAATTCTTTTATAAATCGAATAATCTTGCAATCTTTGTCCAGAGCAACCCTCACTAGTCAACTGTCAAATCTCTAGCTAATTATCCTTACTCACGCGAGGGAGCAAATCTCGGAAAATCTGGAAAAGTCCACGTCAACATGGAACATGTCTCCGCTTCCGATTCCAATTGCCAATTTTCAACCCTCGTCTTGGATGACTTTTTCCCTATCTCAGCTAGCCTTCTATTCCCTTTTCACTTTTGCCAACTGGAGTGCCTTTGTTTTTATTGTCGCCTGTCGCCTCACAATTGATACATTGATAAATGATGTTGCCGACACTCGGCACTCGACGCCCGACGCTAATTTTGTGTGACAAACAGTTACATGTCAATCCTCCTGTTTCCTCCTTTCGACCATGGATCCTTGAGCAGCTCCCTGGCGAGTTCATGGTCCTTGAACGGCATCGGGAGCGCCGGAGTGCTTTTGTTGTTCGGGGTGTGTCGGTTATAGTATTTTGTTGCAGTAAAAAGTATATATATATATATTATAAATGAAAGTTTTCAAATTTAATGCTTATCAGCCTTAATCGGAAATGCTGGCTGATTGCCAGCGATTTAATATTTAACTTATGATGTATTATATTAATCCCAGAGTATTTGCAAATTCGTCAATTTAATAGCTATCGTTCAAGGCAAATAATGCCTACTTGTCATGCGATGTCCTTGAAATAGCAACAGGAAACTAGGCTAAGTTCCCACCCAATCCGGGAAGGCTAATCTATTTCCACTACCTTCCTGAAATGGATGTTAATTTGGGGGGGGGGAAATTAAACGGCCAGAGCAATTAAAAATGTATTAGGGACACCGCAACCGAAGTCCGCCTGGAAATAATTACTCCTCGATGGCGAAGCCTTAAGCATAGAATTGGATTGGGGATGATGAACTTGAATGGCATCCTCTCACTCAGGCGGTCCCCATTCTTTCTCATTTGTTTCCCCATTCCTAGCGATTCTGGTCGAGATCGAGATCAGGCACGGAGTCGGAGACGGGGACGGAGGTCCTTTGCAATCGGCCCGTCCGGAACAGATCCTGCAGCATGGCAAGGACCTGCATATGGCGATGAAGTTCCTCCGGCATCCCGGCTTCTTCCAAATCCGGTGGCACATGGACATAGCGGGCCAAGTAGCGGATGTAAACGCGAATGGACTTGTGCCACGAGGATTGCTCCAAAGGATCGTACGAGGCCCTCTGCCCGGCATTTGATACTGCTGGCACCACGGCCAGTTGGTTTCGACCTCTCCTGGGGGTCGGAAAACCGTCGAAATAATGATCCTTCTGGCTTCCATAGATCTTACCTGTTCAGGATTAATCGCTTCAGAGGACCCAAAGCGGCACCCACAAACAACAGCAGAATGGATAAACCCAGGCAAATTCCGTACAGCAAGATTGCCGACATCTCGACTTGCGATTACAAAATTTTGGGATGGGTTATGGACAATGAAGGAGAAGGGGGGAAGAGGACGAAGTGGACAAAATGGAAACGGAGAATTTGTTTGCTTCGATCTGACAATCACGACCGGAATTCAAAAAAATTTTGAATTTTGATTTTTTTTGCGTAGTCTTGTCATCGTCACCATAAAAAAAAATAAAAAATTGTTTTTTGTATGATAGTTGGCTAAGTCACGAACTCAGCAGGTGCTCATCTTCACTTTGTTCAGCTAATTAATAAGCTTTTTGTAAGACCACATATATATATGCAAAATTCATTGGGCATGCTGGATTTTAAATAAGCTATGTTAACTTATCAACCCATTAATCTTTGATAAATCCATTAAAAAAATACAAAAACTTTGGGAATATAAAAGAACACTCAAAAAAAAGTGAAATTGAAACGGTTTATGTTATTTGTTAGGCCTTTTTGCATTATTAAAACAAATCTACTACAAGATATTTTCAAAACCAATTCTAGAGGGTACCGCCTAGTCTAAACTCTTGTTTACAAAATCTCTGCCTAATTGCTGGGCATAGGGATCGCTCATCCGCAAAATGTGATCGGTGATTATGCCAACCTGCGGCCATATCCACTTGCTGACCGATCTGATATTCAACGATAACGATGATGAGCAGCACATCTGGCCGAAAATAACGAATATAACCACAACCACCCGGAAGTGGGTGGGCCGTCCGATTATTTGATGGTTTTCATGGTTAGTTTGAGTGCTTTCCGCCAGAGTGAACCTTCAGAGGATTACCATCGCGTCGAGCGGAGAACTCAGATTACTCATATTTATTTGTGCTGGGTATTTATATTCATGTTTATATTTATGGCCGTGTCGGTTATTGAATTCACAATCCAACTCCCCACGCAGTCCAACTTTTCTGCCGGAGATTATTCATTATTTTCATATATATTTTGTTAGCTTTTTTTATTGTTGATTTTTTTCCTGTGATTGTTAATTGCGTTAAGTCCAAGTCAATTATCGGAGGGGGCAGAGCGGAGGGAGTTGCTGCTGTTCACAATTTTAATTTTAATTTTATCCCCTCGATTCGTTTGTTGTAAATAGTTTTTGCTGCCGCGTTGAATAGAGAATGATCGAAGATTATATATAAAAAAAAGCCAAAGGGGTTGGGAGAAGCTGACATCATGCGAGAACACACAGTTGGCCAAGTCAAGCGATGTCTAGATAAGATTAGAAAAAAACCCCAAAGTAATCAGAAAAAGTGGAGAAGTGGATTCAAGTAGATTTATAATTGTGAATTTCAAAACAGAACGTAAAATAAATTTTAAAACAAGGCAAGAGAATAAATAAAAACAGAGAATATCAAAAAAAAAAACTGTTAAGAATTCAAGGGAAAGAAGAGAACTATAGGAAGACTAAAGAGCAATCAAACATAATTCGAGTTCAAAAAGCAATCGGAGTGACCCTAAAGCGAAGCCAAAGTACATATCTGATCCCAAGTACAGAGCTGAGAAATACAAAAACTTATCGCGCTTTTAATGCCCCCGCCCCAGGCATCGACCTCAAATCCACTCACAAATCTCAGGCGTGTTTTTTCGGAGTTTCTTGAACCTTCGCAGGCGGAAGTGGCGGCACTTATGACTCACATATCAAATGGATACCCAGATAGTCAGCCTCCAGTTGCTCACCTTGTTGTGGAACTATGAACGTGGCGAGACTCGATCAGAAATCAATTTTATATTATAATATATATATATATATATTTCGATATATATAATTTATAATTATGATAGATACAAAAACATCTCCTAAAGATATAAAAAAGTCGTGACAATTGCACTTTTAAAATACAAATTGCTATTCGTCGCGTAAAAAAAGTTATTATAAACAGGAATTTAGGGAAGGATTCAAACTCGCACATCTGGGCAGTCCACTTCGTTTAATGAATGCGCCAAGCACGCGTTGGAATGTGAATCCGAATTGAATGATGTCTTGTATTGTGTATATTTCCAAACTGGCCTGTCATAAATTCATTTCGATGGCGCCCACGCTCGAGAAAAGTCGTGGAGTTTTGAGGGGCGAGATGACTGACAATCGCATTTAGATGTCAAAAGAAACTATTTTTAATTTCACACCTCGCTGTGATTTACGAGGGCAGGGAAATAATGCTTCCAGGCAGATGGCAAAACTTTGGGCCTCAGAGTGGGAGCACTACAAATGTCGAAAATTATACACAGCTGGGCCAAAGTGGTTGGGGAATATACGGAATTAACATTAATTCCCGTGATTGGGTGAGGATTGTCTTGGACCATTTAAAAAAAATTCCTCGTGATAATGAGAATGTACGAAATGGAATTAAAACAAGAAACGATGCCAACGTTTATACACCGATGCAGCTATTTCAAAAATGAAATATTTTATGCGTATATGTTAAAAAAATAAATTAGTTTTCCGACTAATATAACATTTAAACTGTAGTGTTGAAAATTTGAATATGTTTAATAACATCTATGTTTCCAATTTTTGTTATCAGTTACCAATAGGTAACTAGCCTGGATAAACTTTTTTCTAGCTTTGCTTAAACGTGAACCAGAACTAATAGATTTAGATTTTTAAAATCATTAGATTGAATCATTACCAACGACATATTTGTATTGTGGTATTTTTACCTTGATATCAAAAAAAATGTAGTCGATCACTCTGTGTAATAAACTGTTTACAATGCTCAAATGCGCGGCAGCTTCCTATTTTCTTGCCAATTAAATTTCTTTGACCCCATTTCCCGGAGCAACTGGGTGGAAAGGCGGAAAAGTGCAAATGGCTGCGGATGGTTGAGGAGTAATGTGTGCCACTGCTGGCGCTGCCTGCCTTTGAAAACTCAAACAAAACATCCTCGCTGCCGCTGCTTCCTGTTGTCCTGTGTTGTCTCCAAATGAAAATAAAAATGGAATTAAGCACACAAGCATCAGAGAAAGGCATAAGTACACATACACATAGGGCTGCAAAGGGGAAGTATATATTTCTATATATATATTTTTTTTTCGTGCACTTAAAGATACAAGATGAGCTCAGAAGGTGGGGAAAAGCAGAGCACCAACAACAAAATTAAAGTATCCTGAAAGTGCTCGTCTATCGGCGAAAAGGCCAAAGAGGATATGTTTTGTATAGAGCGGGACTTTTGCACTTGCAATCCCATTTCAAATTTTGACTCTCTCATAAATAGCTGGTCACATTAATTAGTCTTACTCTCGGGATCGACTTCGGTCATGATCACCTCCTCGCTCTTTCGGTGATATAGGTATCAGTTCAAATTGCGGGTTAGTTTTGTGATAAATTATATAAATATACTACATAAATATCCCTAAACTTTCAATGCTTTTTTATTAGAAATAATGGGAAAACCAGTTTGTTGGTTAGCTGGCAAATGCTCTTGTAATTCTGCTTCGTTTTGTAAATAACCTTTTCAATAACAGCCACGATCTTAGTTTTTTTCGAACGGCTCTTTATTAATCGCTCAAATTAATACTAATCCCTAGGCTGATTATTTTGATTAATCTGCCTCATATGGCGCCCGAATCGGAGGATGATGATAATGAGGATGAGGAATGAATCCAGTGGCAAATGGCATATGGTTGGTGCTGCTGCTGATTTTGCGTGCCGACAGGACCTTAATCATCTAGCTACCCATCTCTTTCCGCCCCCCGAGTCTGTCTCTTTCTATCTGTCAGTCAGCGAATGTGTTTTGAATTATAGCGCTGTAAACTCAAAAAGGATGATAATGCTCCCCCTGCGCAGCTCAAGTGAAAAAGATGGCAAAACAAAGGGATATTGTGACAAGGATTTATTAGTGTGGAGGAAGAGAGGGAAGAGGGGTGCAGCAGGACGGGACCATTGTCCATTGTCTTTTCTTTCCCGGGGTGGATTATGAGCAGGAAGAAGAAGCAAGGGGGTGAGGGTCGTGTCAAAGTGCAATTATTGCTCATTGCAACAACGCCTGCCTGCCTGATGGCATTCAATCTGCTTTTCCTCGAGAGCCACCTTAAAGTTCCGTAGCCCGGAAATCGGATCTTGGCAGCCAATTAGGCGGGTATTAGGTTACCTTTACCTCTTCCACCGAAACCAAACACCCCATCACCCAAACACTCCAAAAGGGGCGAGAAAGGAGCAAACTTTCGAGCAATTTACTTAATGGCTTTGGTTATAAGCAGGACATGGCTACTAGTGCTAAGGACGATCTTTTTAGCCGAGAATAATGGGCCAAATCTGCTGCTGCGAAAAGTTTTATTGCAATTGCCAAATTAATTTGCCTGCCAGAAGTTTGCACAAGCAAAAGAAGGAGAGGCAAAAAAGCAGCAGAAACACAAATGTGCGTTCATTAATTTAATTTTTCATTAAAGAAAGGCAAATGCCGCAGGGGCCAAATGAAAAGTGTCATAAGACCGCCCCTTAAAAAACAAAAAAAAAAAGGGAGCAGCGAATTTATATTTGACCATAAACAAAAGGCCGCACAAACAGCATTCAAGTTATTCGAAGCGGAAAAAGGGAAAAGGTGGGCAAATGGCGGAGAGGTATCACCTTTTATTTTAATATTTCGGTCATTAAAAACCGTTTCACAGCAGCAGCAGCCGGCGACTTGAGTTTTTCGGTTTCAAGACCGATTTTGATTTGGCGTTTTATACCATGATGGCTAAACAAAAGCGGCCAAAAAAAAAACTTAATTCAGACCCCATGAAACAAATCGTTGCACCCAACAATTTCAACAAAAGCAATAACCTTTAACGCTGCCGAAAAAAATTAAGGAAAAGCTCAAGAAAAAGAAAATTTTGAGGGAAAAAATCTTAAAAGACTAGTCGATGATGGGAATACTCTGCGACATTAAGAATTGTTTAAAAGAGTAAAATGTATAAGATTAAACTGGTTTAAAAAGAAATGCCCTGGAAAACCAAACTTTTATCTCTGAAATAATTTGTCGATTTAATTTTTAAAACCCGGGCTTAAAACTATTTAAACTACATAATATAATGTTATTCAGTGCAAGTAAAGTTTTGTAATATTTAATTATTATAAGTTCACAAGAAGTTTGTCAAAAAAATTATATTTGGAAAATTTTGATTGCACTGTTGAATGGAGTTTAATAAAAATGGCGGTTTATACTACTCAAATCCACCCAGAATTACTTAAAAGGACTTTACGTAAATGCTTAACCCATGAAGGACATTCCAAGTAAAATGGAGTAAAAGGAGCGCCAAACAATTAGGTCTAAACGTTTTTATATCAGAGGGCGTGGCAGCGTTTGGGCAGGTGGAACTTAGAACTCGAAACTGGAGACCCCAAAAAAGGCAAGCGAAGATTGGGCAGGGTCTTTAGATTAATGGTACAGTGCAATTTTTACGATTGTTGGCCAAGTTTTGTTCAAATAAAGTTACGCCGCCCTATGTGTTTTCTTCACGTGCTTTTCCCGCTTTTCCGGCGTTCCGCCCCGCGGACATTCGATTTTTTTTTTCTTCCTTTTACGAAATTTATGAAATTTCACCTTTCGGCCAAGCAATTTGCTCCATTTACATTCTTTATTAGCCGCCGCAGTTTACCAAGAGTTTCCCGGAGGCAGGGGAGAAAAATTGTTTGAAAATAATTTGGGCAAGGAACAGGGGAAATACGGTCGGAAACGGAACAAAGTTTTCCATTCTTGTTTAGCTTTATTTGGTGAGGGTAAAAATGAGGATCAAAAAATAAAAACATAAACATTGTCAATCTCTGAATCGCATTTCGTTGGAAGAACGGAGCCGAAGTGTATCTTGGAAATAAAAAATAAATTACGTCCTTTCTATGAAATATGTAATAAATAATGTATAGAAGGAAATTAAACAATGATTCCAACAGAAGGAATCACTGTGAATCAAAGAAATGGTTTAAAACACTATATATTGCTACCAAATCTTTATGTGTTTACCTTGTCATTTCGTTGACATTTTTGGGCCAAAGTTGCTAGACAACGTTATTTCCAACCCATTTTTTCCAACCTTCACTTCATATTTCGCCGAGACAGGGGAATTTAATAAATTCATCAGCTTTCATTTAGCCTGATACACTGTTCGAAAAGAAGCACAAGAAAAGTATCATGAAGAATGGAAATCATAAAAAAACCAGACAACGTGGCCAGGAATAAAAAATGAAGAAGAAAAGGAAGACACACAAAAACCAGAGGAAAAAGAGCGAAAAGAAAAACAAAATCGTGACTGTCATTTCAACGAAGCGAAGTTATTTTTCATGACAAAGCAGCCGAAGAGGAAAACTCCTCCGACTCATTTTCCGACATTTGAAGAGGGAGGCGAAGGAGGCATTCCAGCGTTAAAATACCTTTTACTAGCACATTACCTCCCTCTATTTTTTGGCCCTTCTGCGAGTGAAAACCAAAATGCAGTCGACGTCGCTGCGTTTTTCATGAAATTATTACGACTTTGGAAATGGGGTCGTACAAAATGTCGTTACGTTGGCGGAACAAAGTTATATAGCCCCTGCTGCTGGCCGGACAGCTCGTTATACCCTTCCAAAGGGTATTATAATAGCAGTCAAAAGTTTGCAACGCAGAGAAGGAGACATTTCCGACCCTATAAATGATATTATTACTAGTTGTTTCTTAACATATATTGAGATATACTCCGATATATGGTAATTTCAAACAATTTCAGAATTTAATTTTATTAAAATAAGACGACTATATCAATGACATAGGAAGGAAAGATACAAATTTTAAGATAGGTTCATTATTTTTAGGCTTATACGTAAACATATTGAAAAATAGTCGTTTTATAGAATATTTAATTTTTGAACAGCTGAAAGGGTATAACAACTTCGGCTTGCCGATGAGTGCTTCCTTTCTCGTTTAAGTTTATTGTTGAAAAAAAGAAAAAGAGTTAAACCGGAAGGTATCTGTAATCCTACCTACCTCAGTCATTTAATCGAGGCCTCATGAAAGCCTTAAAAGAAAAGTGTAAATATTTTGTAATGTTTGTGTTGATCTTGACCTAATTAAGAATCTCGGATTACTTATTACCTAATAGCCTCAGGCATCTTTTAGAGAGAACCTATATATGGAGAAAGTAAGACTTACACTTGCAAAGAATTCCCACGATTATGTGGATCATCAAATAATGAACTCAATGCTCTCTTGTTATGATCTTAAAAATAAGTAACCTTAATTAACGTTTTATCACCCTGAACTCGCTTCATTAAGGAGTGGATTCTTTAGTGAACTAAAAAGGGTAAAAGCTTATCTATTTTATGGGGATAGCTCTTATAAATTTAACGATCATTAACTAAAACTTCAAAATAAAGAGCTGTGCGAAAAGCTTAAAACTATCTTAGATTCCCTTTTTTGGCCCTAACATAATGGGATTAACTTGACCCATATAAATATGACAACATTCTGAATATGCTTTATCATTTGGTCTTGACTTTAGTATTGCTTTTGATCTCGACGTGGATTTCCATCTTGATATGGTCAGATATTGCCTATTTCCGGTACAGAGCTTCTCACGAACATAATGATCAACTGACCCACTTGATCCGATTTAAAAAAAAAACCTGGTCAATATTTGTTGCGTCTAGACGGGCTTAGAATTCTGTCACTGTCTCTCACAGACTGAATTTTTTGGTCCACGCCGCGCTGTTTCTTTCAGTCGGGTCTGTCTTTCTCTTTCTCATGCCAGATCTTTGTCACACAAACGCGTTAAGATCGCATTAAAAGGCCATAAAAAAGAAGCGACGCATTACTTTTATTTTTACGTTGGCAGTCGTATGTGGAGTATCTACTTTATATAGAGCTATGACATTTTCGCTGCGACTCTCCTTTTTTTTCGGCGCTTTCTCGCATCATCATCATCATCAACGTCTCGTCGTCTCGTGATGAAGGCCATCAAAAATCTAATAAGCGTGATATAATTGACATTTAAGCAAAGCGCACGCACATAGACAATGGTTGACTTGTTTTCGGTTTTGGAGTTCCGATGAGTTGGTTGAGTTGGCCTACGGACCAGAGAACAAACCGCAGTCTGTCCTCCCTCCTTCCCCCATTTGTATATATTTTCCACCGATTTTGTAGGCCAAGCGGCTGACTGAGAATTATGACAGATGACCGCACGTACATTTCACGTTTCCACGTTTCACGAGCGTCGGAACTGCGACCAAGATACTTATACATTGTCCAGGAAAAAAGATCGTTCTCCGTTTCTGGGTCATAAATCAGAAAAAGGAAACAACAAATGTAAAATAATGAGTTGGAGTTTAATTCTCTGGTAGGAGATGCTCATTCGCATTCGTGGCACCACCCACGCTTTTTGGCACCTGGTTGTAGTTGGAGGTAGAAAAGGGCGACGTGATACGTGTTGGACATGCAGATTGCCGGAGGAGGGTCAACTATTTTGTAATGGGAGCAGAGTAAAGTTGGAGATTATGATTGATGAAATGTGAATACGAAATATAACCATGAACTCAAAACCACTTGAAGTTGATCGCTCTAAAAATAAAGCGAACATTTCTTTTTATACATAGCCAAGGTTGAAATCTCTTTTAACTTTTTCATGGCTTGAAATAAACCCATCTCACATCCTCCCATCTATATTTCAATCTCCATATCAGACATATATATGTATTTGTGTGTGCCTACCCGACAACTAACTCTTTATCCTTTATTTCTTCCATTTTTGCAGTTAAAACGGGAGTTGCAGCCTGGGCCATATTTCCAATGTCCACAAATTAAATGGTGAGTGCAAAATAGAGTGTGAAATGCATTTATAAAAGGCATGGCCTCCCCCTAAACTAAATTGCTTTCCAGCTCAGATGGGTGTGGATATTGTAGGAGGCTGGATGCCAGGCACCACGCCTTACCTATAAACCAACATGAATGTCTGCAACTCGACCACCGCCCGCTGAGCTGAAAAGAGGGGGGGAAAGTGGGGGAGAACGGGGGGTCGGGTCACAGAAGGGAAGCAAATGCAAATAGGTGCCTCGCTTTAATAGACAGATGGACTGTTTGGCCCATGGAAAAAATCACACGCTGACTGCAACGTCATCAGGGGTTATAAAAGGGATTGAATGAAAGGGGGATCCAGTCACGCCTTTGGAATGTGCCGACCTCATCATCATCGTTATTATAATCATCACCATCATCTCGATCACACTGTGATGGCGTTGAAATACAACATTTTGTTTTCTGGCCCCCCTTTTTAGTACAATTGCAGAGGGTATTAAATATTCAGTCAAAACTTAGCCACACAGTGAAAATGAGATTTTCGACCTTATAAAGTTCTTAGTACTTTGTACTTTGAAATTAGTTCATGATTTACTTCTTTTTTACTTACTTCGTTTCCCAACATATGCACATATACATTATTTTTTGTACAATTTAAAATTTCTAAAAACCAAAGCACTTATAAAGCTATTATATGAACGATCGAATAAATTGATGTAAATTTGTTTATAGGGTATATAAACTGCAGCTTACTTCCTTTCATGTTTCCAATTACGGTGGCGATGACACACACTGTGGCACTTGGAATTGAATGCAGATGAGGCAGGACTGATTGGGTTCATTAATTTGAAGAGGGGTAGAATTAGCTACTGTTATGAGGCTGCTAGATTGATTTTAAATATGTGAGTCTTTTGATTTTAATTGTTACTGAACAACTGACTGCAGTGAAATTAGAAAGTGAAGATAATAAAACAAACGACTCGGGGTAATACAATTTAAGTGCATCGCCTGAGATAGTGTTATATTAGATATATATATTTAATTATGTAGGAAAATTAGCTGCCTCGGAAGCCTCTTCTCCCGAAATCACGCTTTCTGATTATAGGGCTTTCGCCGTTAGGGACGTTTCCCTGGTCTGCTGCCATTACGCTGACCAAATATTGCCACAAGCTGTCGGCGGAATCCTCGTCGAGGGAGAGACATTGTGCAAAGCCAACTGTGCAATTATTTGCACAACTAATAATTCACTTTAGTGTCTCATTCAGGGCAAATATTGAGATTGAGGGAGCGATAAGGAGAGGAGGGAAAACTGTGGCCCGTAAGACATTTGCGATTGTCATTAGCGCAAAGAATGCGAATGCAATCCCCGAAAATGGGGAAACCAACTCACAAGATTCGCATCTCGAATGCCAGTCATGTTTGGCCTTTTGGGACCCCCGAAGTTCCCTGCGAAAATGTCAACAAAATGTTTTTAACTTAAAGCTGCTAGCTTATTACTAGTTCTTTTTTTTTCTCGTGCTTCTAAATTGCTTTATGTCTGTGTTTGTTTTTGTGCTTTTAATTTGGCTGCCAAACGGCCTTGAATCTAAACAGGCGATTGATTCCCGCAATGAATTGAGCAAATTGTTTGCATTGAATACGGCACGGCCTTTGTTTGGCTGGTCAGTTGGGCTAATTGCCGCAGAGTTGTGGGTCTGCTGGCCAAAAAGCAGTAATATTTGCCTAATGTTCTGCCTCTGATCAAAAACAATCAAGTCGCTGTTAAATTGTTTCTTTGAAACAAAAATAAAAAGTCTATAATTTAAAAAACTTGTGATTTTACATCCATGCAATTGGTTTTCAATATATATTGTCTGCCATGTTGTGTAGACTTCAAAATGTTTGGAGAATAGAGTCGAAAATATAACCCTAACATGTAAATATAGGATATAAAATGGTAGTAAAAAAAAAACAATGGAAACCTTGTCACCTAATTTGATAATCCTATTTACAGAAATTTGAAACTTAAACTCTGTGTCTTGAAAAGTGCTTATTTTCGTTGACCGCCTTACAAATTGTTGACTGAAAGTCGCACAGCCGGCGTCATTCACCTTCAAAATAAAATCATGTTGCGTTTGGTGAAGCGGAAAAACCAGTAATTAAGTGTCTCGTCAGCTTTTCGCTTTTCCCTGCGGCCCCTCAAACAAAATTCAGCCGACCCAGTGCGGACACTCTGTAATTGAAACTTTTATTTTCATTTCCATTTTCTCCCACTGTTCAGCTGACATAAAAAGATGGCGACGTTGGTTCCATTCCATTCGGTTGGTTGAACAACCAACTTGCTATGTTGCAAGTCGCTTATCATTTCGATTTGATTTGATACGATTCATTGACACGACAATGTCACAATTACATGCACTTCGCATTAGAGGTAATTTCTATAATGCTGTTATTGGGCAACCGACAACAGCAAAAAGTTTCGGCACGACGTAGATTCCGAATCGATATGGAAAATTTTATAAGAAGCTTTAACCAAGAAGGTTAATTCTGGCTTATCGTTTTAAGATTATAGTAGGATGATTGAGCTGAGTTTAAAGCGAACCAAAGTGGATGTTCACAAGGTCATTTCATTCCAAAAGTAATAATTCGCTTAGAAGCAATGGCAGTATTGAATAAATTTTTAATATTTTATTAACCTAACATTGAACTGCATGTTATTATGACTACGTTGGTGTGCTAATAACTCCCAGCTTTTACTATTTCTTCCCACATTTCAAAACCAAAATAATTAATTAAGCAGCATATTCTGTTCTCTATTGCCATCTTTTTCCCAGCTCCCTCTGCCCTCTCACTCGCACCCATTCGCTTACCTCGTCTTAAGTGATGCAAAAACAAATTTGTCTGAAACCCGATGACATCCACGGCGCGTTGCTTCCGCCGTATTTTGTTGTCATTGTCGCCAGACTCTCCGTTTCCCCTGTTTTCACCCCTCATTCCCCCCTTACTCACCCCTTACTCACCCCTTATCTCCCCATAAATTTGTAACTGGTAGCTGGGTGCAGCGACTGGATCCGAAAGGGTTTGCTATGAGCTAATGAATGACATGCTATCCTAATGAATGACAAGACTTGCTCTTGCTTTCGCCTTTGCTGATACACTGAAATGATAAATTTGCTTTTTAAAAATGCATATCAAGATTGGAAATTCTTTACAAAAAATGAAAGGAGTAATAAAGGGTCATAAAATGAAGAAAAATCGAGCCAAAAATAAAAACTAAATTTTTAGAGAATTAAACCATGATTGTGGTAGGCCACTTTAAAATAGGATGTCTGTAAGAAAAGTTATGGGCTTAAAAGTGCATGTTTTCGGTCACTTTTCTGCAAATCCATTTTTCGAAAATCATTGAAAATGACGAAAAATCGACCCAAAAATAAAAACTAAAGTAAAACAAGAAAGGAAAGCTAACTTCGGGCGGAGCCGAAGTTGATATACCCTTGCAGAATACTCTGTAAATTATATTCTCCAAAATTATTCATATAATGCATTCTTAATACTCATAAAAAATCCCAACTTCCTAACTTTACAAACACGAAAGTTATGGCATTTCCGATCAATCAGTTATATGGCAGCTATAGGATATAGTCGGCCGATCCTTTTGAAATTTGGTAGGTCGGACTGATTGGCCAAATATAAAATCCATAGAAAATCCCAACTTCCTAACTTTACAAACACGAAAGTTATGGCATTTCCGATCAATCAGTTATATGGCAGCTATAGGATATAGTCGGCCGATCCTTATGAAATTTGGTAGGTCGGATTGATTGGCCAAATATAAAACCCATAGAAAATCTCAACTTCCTAACTTTACAAACACGAAAGTTATGGCATTTCCGATCAATCAGTTATATGGCAGCTATAGGATATAGTCGGCCGATCCTTATGAAATTTGGTGAGTCGGATTGATTGGCCAAATATAAAACCCATAGAAAATCTCAACTTCCTAACTTTACAAACACGAAAGTTATGGCATTTCCGATCAATCAGTTATATGGCAGCTATAGGATATAGTCGGCCGATCCCGGCCGTTCCGACTTATATACTGCGTGCAAAGGAAAGAAGGGTGTGTGCAAAGTTTCAATTCGATAGCTTTAAAACTGAGAGACTAGTTTGCGTAGAAACAGACAGACGGACAGACGGACAGACAGACGGACAGACGGACAGACGGACAGACGGACAGACGGACATGGCTATATCAACTCAGGAGGTGATCCTGATCAAGAATATATATACTTTATAGGGTCGGAGACGTCTCCTTCACTGCGTTGCACACTTTTGACCAAAATTATAATACCCTCTGCAAGGGTATAAACACAGATTTTTAGAGTATAAAACCACAATCGTTTTGAGGCATTCCATTTTGAAATCGGATGTCCTTAGGACAAGTTATGGGCTTAGAAGTGCAGGCTTTAGGCCATTTTTCTGCAAAGCCGTGTTTCGTAAATTTGGAAAAGCAATTTCATTTAAACAATTGAAATACCCTTTTCTCGCAGTTTACGTTTGCTACCTGAGCAAATCAATGACTTGGCTTAAACAAATGTTGAAATACGATATTTGCCCTCGACGTTGCTGGCTTTTCCCATTGTGGCAGTAGTTGTTGCTGCTGCTGCCATGGAAACTCGATCTAAAACTAACGGTTTCCACCTGCATCTCATGCACTCGAAGAAAAAAGTAATGGATAAGATCACATTAACAGTTGGTCAGTCCGTTTTGCAAATGCCAACTTAAACTTGTCAACGATGAGATGAATATTAAGCACAATAAATTACACATACGCCGCATAAGCCATCGAACGTCAGCCAACTCGACGGCGACCAGCAAAAAGTTGACTGTAAATGAACAAAAAATAATTAAAAATGCATTTTTCATTAAGGCATTAAAGTGCGCGGACGGAGAGAGAAGAGGCGGCCATTCATTTATTTCATTTATCTTGGGGTTGCCCGAACTCGAACTGTGAATCGCGGATTGCGAACTGC